TTCGGGCAGCGTGTGACGGTTTCATTGGCTGTTTGAAGGCCATAGTTCGTGCCAAAGGTGACCAATTCGAACAAATCTAAACTTATTCTAAAATTTGATGCTATTTCCGACATTTTTCGTTTTCATTCAATAAAAATTAAAAAAAATGCAAAAATTATGGCGTTTGACTTTGTTGCAGTTTTTTTATCTCACCCTTTAGAGTGTCAACAATTTGAACAATCATAACAGAAGTTAAAATATATTTAAATAATCGAACAATGGCTGAGGGTATACATCTGTCGACAAAACCGACTTTTTTACTTGTTTTTATTTATTTTTTATTTTATTTATTTATTTACTTTTTTTAATAACGAATTTCGATAACGTTATCTACATTATTATTATTATTTTTTTTTTCAAAAATATGTTTTTATTAATTTCTTTATTCATTTACTACAAATTACCGAATTTTACAACAATTTTCACTTGCTATAATCCAAACACTATTTTTTCTTCAAACTACAATATGTTATTCCCAACCCTGTACACTAAACCACCGTTTTGCTCAGAGCGCCAAAACACACTCGACCCACGAACATACACACACACCCAATGTGGTGATGATGTGGATGAATTTCAAAAATGCTTCTGATACAGCAATGGAATCAAAACTCACCAAACAGGTTATTATTGTTGCTGTAATTCTCAAAATTCCAATTCCACTAAAAAAAATAAAACAATAAAACTTTTGTTTGTTATTGTTTGCCATTGAGGTTTTCTTCCAAAAAGCAATTTGGAAGAAAAAAAACCCAAGAGAGAAAGAATGTCAGTCACATTCTTAGCCGCAACCATTGGGAGTACTTTTGGGTGTGTGTATTTGTATATTTAGTCAGTCCATCTCTCTTTGGTCTATGCCGACTACGTGGATGGATGACTGGGATGTTACGCGCCTGGAGAAGCAAAACGTTTCGTTATGAGTTTCGACAAAATCAAAGTTTCATTTCGTTGGTGACTGTTGCTGGAGAAACGTCGTTAATGTAGCAGTTTTTTAAAAGTAGAGGATTGTTGGATTATTGATTTTCCTTGGAAGAATTTTTTTTTTCAAATCCTTCTGTCTTTTGTTGAAGGACTTTTTGTTATTTTTATTTCGAAGTCTTAAATATTCTGCGCATTTGAGGTTACAATGTAATATTGCCAAATTGTCAACCGTGATCCCGCAGATAGATTAAAAATTGAATAAAAAACGTGTCTCTTTACCGTGTTGAATCGGCTGATAATAAATTCACAGTGATTTCGACCCCGTAGGGCACGTACAATATTAGTTGCTTTAGAATTTTCATTTTTTTTTATTTATTTAAATACTTAAGCCACGTGTATGAATGGTTTTCAATGGAGGTTGTTTGCAGAGAATGCTATTATTTATTAAATTTTGTAGACAATTTTAAAAAGTTTAATACCCAAGAAATTTTTGAAGAAAGGGAGATTTTTTCCTCGTTACATGATTCCATGTGCTTTGTTCATATGTTTGTTTTCAACGAACATATTAACATACATACCAATTTAGGTATGTTCATACATATTTCATTTGATTAGCACAGCTATTAATCTATTTCTATTCGGGTCTCTGCTGAATTTGATTAGATTAAGCAATGGCTACGTAAATATTTTTTTTTATATATTTTTTTTTAATTTCTAGAGGATTTTCAGAACTGAATTCCATTGAGGAGATTATCAATTATAACATATTACATTTATCATGTCTATCTTCTCATCTCCCACCTACTTTCAAAATATCAATAGACGATTTCAGATTTTTTTTTTATTTGTTGTTTTTAGAAACTGTACTTGAATTCTCTCTTGTTGTAAACTGGGGCTTTTATGTTTTTGGGAAAACTGTAATATGTAGATATGTAGTTGTTTTTGTCTCGTGACCATAACTGTAAAATTAGATGTTCACACGTTTTTTTTTTTTTGATTACTGGAAAGAGAAGGTATTTTGTTATTGTATTTCTTCTGTTCTTTTTAAAGCGGCGAAAATATAAAAGAAAGGACACATAAAAAATTCTCCATTTTATAACTTATGTTGGTATTAATCTAAAAACTATCAACAATCTATTCAAAAAATATGTACAGTACCGGGCAAAATTATTTACACAGTAGTCAATTCATGGTAGAAGAATATAGGTAGACGCATCGACACAGCTGCTGAGACAATGAACTGTCAAACCAATTTTTTGAAATGTTGAATGAAAAATTGTTTAAATTTGTAAAAATTGTTGAAAAACGCGAATTATAATAACCTCCGAATGACGTTCTTTAAGAAAACATATAAAAATCTACTTATATTTAAATTTATATTAAATTGCGTGATGCGTTGATGCATCTACCTGTATTCTTCTGCCATGAGTCAATTTTATGTCCAGTCCTCATTTTGTATACCCTCCACCATAGTATGGAAGGTATATTGAGTTTGTCATTCCGTTTTTAACACCTCGAAATATACATTTTAGACCCCACAAAGTATATATATATATTGATCAGCATAAAATACTATGTCGATTTAGCGATGTCCGTCTGTCTGTGGAAATCACAGCTTCCGAACGAATTTTAGTAGATTGATAAAATTTTAGTCAAATGTGTGTTATATCAGTCTGCATGTCTGCACTTTTGGTATTGAAAATGGGCCAGTCCACGTTTTATATATTTAATATAATAACGGTACCCTCCAATTTTCGGTATTTTGATGATTTTAGCGACATTATTTACCGGATTTGTTTTAAATTTGGTATTTGAAGTTCGAAATGGATGCTACAGCCTATGACAGGAGATTGTCGGTGCAGTTCCATGTCTTCGTATAGCCCCATATATCGGTTCCTCCCGATATTCGGTATTTTGATGATTTTAGCTACATTATTCACCGGAATTGTTTCAAATTCGATATTTGAAGTTCGTGATGGAAAGTAGAGCCAAAGACAGAAAATTGTCTGTGCAGGTCCACGTCTTCGCATAGCCCCCATATAACGGTACCTCCCGATATTCGGTATTTTTATGATTTTAGCTACATTATTCACCGGAATTGTTTCAAATTTGGTATTTGAAGTTCACAATGAATACTAAATCCTAAGATAGAAAATTGTTTGTGCAGGTCCACGCCTTCGTATAGCCCCCATATAACGCTACCTCCCGATATTCGGTATTTTGATGATTTTAGCTACATTATTACGGATTTTTTTTATGTTTCGCATTTGAATATTGTAATCGCTTATTTACCGGAATTGTTTCAAATTCGATATTTGAAGTTCGTGATGGAAAGTAGAGCCAAAGACAGAAAATTGTCTGTGCAGGTCCACGTCTTGGCATAGCCCCCATATAACGGTACCTCCCGATATTCGGTATTTTTATGATTTTAGCTACATTATTCACCGGAATTGTTTCAAATTTGGTATTTGAAGTTCACAATGTATACTAAATCCTAAGATAGAAAATTGTTTGTGCAGGTCCACGCCTTCGTATAGCCCCCATATAACGCTACCTCCCGATATTCGGTATTTTGATGATTTTAGCTACATTATTACGGATTTTTTTTATGTTTCGCATTTGAATATTGTAATCGCTTATGAGAAATGTTACCTATGCAAGTCCATGCCGTCGTATAGGTCCCCTATATATAACAGCTACATTTGGTATTTTTAAGATTTTAACAAAATTTTTAACGGATTTTATTGTTTTTGAGAATTGCCAAAATCGTTCAAAATAGTAGAGGGTATTCAAAGTTCGGCCCGGCCGAACTTACAGCTTTTTTAATTGCCTCTTTTTTTGTATTTATATATGATGTATCTATATCAAACAAGTAAAAAAAAGCTAAGTTCGACACTCCACCACTTGGAAAAAACCTGAAAATTTTCAAAAAAAAAAGTCCGTCGGAAAATACCGTTTTAATGAAAACCGTTGTTCTATGAAAAGGTGAAATGAAAACTTTTTTAAAGAAAAGAAATGTCAAATGAAGAATCCAGCCCGTGGTCCTGCATTTGTAATTTGTGTCATAGGCTGTAGTAACTGTTCCGAACTTTATATATGAAATTTTAAACAATTCTGATGAATAAAGTCGCAGATATCATCAAAATACCGAAAATCGGAAGGAACCGTTATATAGGGGATATAAGATATCGTGGAACTATATAGACAATTCTCTTTCAGGGGGTAATGTACTCACAAGGAAATTCTTTCGTGGATTTTAAGACAAGTCCATTGAAAAAATTAGCTAAAATCATCAAAATATCGAATATCGGGGAGTACCTTTATGTGATATCGTGGAGCTATATAGACAATTCTCTTCTAGTGGATAAGGTACTCACAAAGAACTTCTTGTGAGAATTTTCAGACAATTCCGTTGACAATAGTGGCTAAAATCATTAAAATACCGGATATCAGGGGTCCCGTTATATGAGGGATATAAGATATCGTGGACCTATATAGACAATTATCTTTCAGGGGTTAAAGTACTCACAAAGAACTCTTTGTGTAGAATTTCAGACAATTTCATTAAAAAATGTGGCTGTAAATGAAAAAAAAAAAAAATATCAAATAAATGAAAACAATTTGTTGGATATAATTTTGAATAATTCTGACAGGAAGCGGGCATAACCTCAGGGTTGTATTTCTGTAGTTTTACGAAGCTGTTCTACCTCCTTGTTGTACCATGGATGCAAGTAATTTTGAATAATTCTTGTTTTTTACCCTCTTTATTATGTTGTTCTGCAATATTCAATTGATTTTCTTCTTCATATGTGCGTTATGCTTTGAAAAATAAATGAGCGAATCAAATCCAAATTGTTTACACTTCTCTTCTTTTACATTTTATATTTTGTCAAATTTTAAATATTTTTTCTTAGCTTTTTTATATTAAATTTCCGCACTTAAATACAACAAATATGTGTTTTGTGTAAACGCCAGTTAAAGTAACAAAATGAACGAAAGAGCCAAACATAGTTCTGATGGCTCCATTCAAAGAATAGTTTCATTGAACCCAACCATTTGTAAACAAACCAACATCAACGTGCTTTGCCTTTTAAAATTTACAATTTTATAAAGAAAATACTTAAATTTAATATAATTACAATAGAAATGTCTATAGACTATGGAAATCTGTGTTCGGTAATATTGAAACAATGTTTTGGCGAGACTGTGCAACTGGTTGGGGACTGTCTGTTTGCGGCAAATGCTCGATCACTGGGAAACATTGTCAAATCAACAAATCTGACAAGGAGGGAGGCAAGTCAATGAGAATCAATATTTGAATGAAAGTTATAAGAAATTTAATTAATATGTATTAATTATAGGTCTCCACTGCTTTGGGTATTTTAATCAAGTACCAATTGGTCACATTTCAAGCTAACGATGTTAATCCTTTTATGGCTGAGTATTCGCTGAAGCGCGATGAAATTTTGTACATTTTGCGGTATTCGAGGTGAGGATGGACTAATTTTGATTGAATTCAAAAAATGGGTTTGATACTCAATAATTTGATAAGAATTGAGGAGTATGGACATAAAAGTATATGAAATATGATGGAGGGACGTGTAAGGAAGTGGAATTGTCCATGGTGAAGGACAACAACCGCTGTTGTTCAATAGCTCCCGTCCATTTCATATTATATAGTGGAAGTAATGAATGTAATAATATATTATGTTTCCTTAAATTCCAGATACGTTCATTTGATACAAACCAAATATGGCTCCGTTGGAGCTGCAATTGCCGAGGAATTGCTATACAGTGGATCTCAAACTGCCTCAAATACCTTACTCAAATGCCTATCCAATAATGAAATCAACGAGAAAGTGGAAACAATACGAGATACATTTGTGCAAATGATACGTGACAATTATTTAATTAAACTTCCAATGTTGGTACCCACTGAAAGCGGTGAACCAGAATTGGTGCCAAAATTACACATAGAAGATTATGATCTATTCAATCCACCCGAAATTGATTTGGCAATGCTGGCTAAGGTGCAGGCTAGAACTGTACAAGCCTCACAACTCAGGGATGCAGGTGAGAACAAAAGTACAAAGCTGATATCCTAAGCCTGACTTCTGAGGGCATAGACTAAGGAATATATAGACAACGGAATGCTCTCACTGCATATCATCGGATTAAATTCGGATCAGATGATGTCACTTATGTCTTTCGAGGGTATGAGTACAAAAGCAAAAGTCACTGAAATGTTAGAAATATCAAAAACTGTGGGATATTTACCAGTTGAAAATGTTCCATAATTAAATATAGGAGTTCTTTGCATGACGACTTCAAAAACAAAAAGCTACCAATCAAGTGAAACTCTTGTGAAACGAATGAAAGTATTTCGAAATCGACTGACTCAAACAGAGAAAAGCATCTGGATATTCTATATCCAGAATATTGGCATGTCATCCTATTTTGCCGACAATTACTCAAGATGCCAGTTAAAAGAGGAGAAGACGACATGCTGTCCATCATAACCTATCAAAATAAGATTAACTCGATGATGGACAGTTTAAAAACTTACTATGGCAACTACCTGAAAGGGGGTAAACATTAAAGTGAAAACATAAAACATATTCAACGATTTAAGTTCAAATACAGACAAAAAGATTTGATATCAAGTTGGCCTCGTTTCGATATTTTCATGGCAGAGCGATAGCTCTTCACTGTGACAGAGCTATATAAAATTTATAATTATTTCAAAACGGCAATACTGTTCCACTTTTTTGCCACTAGAAAGGATCAATATTCTAACAAATCGTAAACCTCTTAAAATGTATAGACACTTCCTGATCTAGTCTTAATAGGATTAAAACGTTTGACTATCGGTCTCTGAGTGAAGTGATTGTCAACCATAATTGGTAACCACACCTCCATACCCCTACCAAATGTAAATCGAATAGATGCATTTTTATACCCTACACCACAAGGTGGTCAGGGTATTATGTCTTTGTGCATTTGTTTGTAACAGGCAAAAGGAAAAGAGATAGACCCATAGTTCCTTTTGATGATCTGCATAAAATCACATTCTGAGTCGATTTATGCATGTCCGTCCGTCTGTCCATGTGTTTTTGTAAACAAAGTACAGGTCGCATTTATTGCCCGATCCAGATGAAATATTGCACAAATCATTTGTTTGACCCAAGGACGAACCCTTGAAGATAATCGGTCAAAATTTAGACATAGCTCCCATATATATCTTCTTCCGATTTGCATTTAGTTGTGCCCCAAACGTGTAATATCAGCCCGAATTGTATGGAATTTTGCATATACACCCAAATTAAGCCTGAAAATAAGTGTGCCAAATTTGATCGAAATGGGTTCAGATATAGCTATAGCTCCCATATATATTTTTCATCCGATTTGTTATTTTTGTCCTCCGCAGCCGTAATATGCACTCTGCAACAACAATATTTGGGGAAATATATCAAATACAGCTCAGCTCAGCTAAATTTTATGGAGATCGGTTCAGATGTGGATATAGCTCCAATATATAACTTCGTCCGATTTACCTTTTATTGTGCACCAAACGTCTAATATTTGTCTAAATGGGATGGAATTTGGCACTTACGACCGATTTGAGTCTAGAAGCTTGTATGTCAAATTTGGTGAAGATCGGTTCAGATATAGCTATAGCTTCCATATACATTGTTCATCCGATTTGTTATATTTGTTACCTACAAACGTAATATGTACTCCGTAACAACGATATTCAGAGAAATATCTTTGCCAAATTTTATCGTGATCGGTTCCGATTTGGATATAGCTCCCATAAATATATATTTATCCGATTTTAAATTAATTGTGCACCAAATGGGCAATGCAAGTCCGAATTTAAAAGATACAAATGCTTCGGCATATTTAGTCCTTTGAACTTTAAATTATAATTATAATTATAGCTTGTATGATCGCATTCTCCTATAAAAACTTTTAATTGTTATGTGGAGCTCTATTAAATTAGCAAAGTCGTGTAGGGTATCATAAAGTCTGCCCCGCCCCACTTTAAGACTTTCTTTACTGGTTATAATTGATTCTATTGGTCAACTCCTTTCAGTCCCTACCCAAAGAACGGTCAATTCGAAAATTCAAATATTTTATAAACAACGAGGGAAATCCCAAATTTTCACATACTTCAAGTTTAGATTGACCTATTTTTTTTTTGGTACCCCGTTCGCAGTTACCATACAATGACAAGAGGCGAAGAGTATATGCCATTTCACGCACTAGAGCTTTGGTTATGCATGTAATAATTAAAACAAATATATTATTTGGAACACATGAAGTTATTTCAAGAGGCAGGTGTACAAGTTATCTCCAGAACTTTATTTAGCATATATTAGGGCTATGAAATGTTTCATCTACATTGGTTTCATAATTTAATGTGTTTTCTTAATTAATAATATTTTTCAGCTGTCTTCTGGCAACTAAACTTCAAACGCTTTCATCAGGACTTCCGGGACCAATGCATGATATCTGCTGTGGAAAGGAAACTAGGGTCCAGTGCAGCTGAATGTTTTAAATACATACTGAAGCAAATGTACGAAAGAACAGATCCCTGGCAAAGAGTAGGTACAATAAAACAAAATCATGTGTCTATTCTAATTTTTCTCATTTTAGCAATGTTCAAATCCATTTACGGTGGTTGAAGTGAAACAGGTGGTGGAAAAGAATTCCAGTAACTTGGATTTGATTCGACATTTGGATCAATATGTGGCCTTACTGGGTATGATTTTTAAATTTCTATAAAAAATTATTGCTAAAATGATTTTATATTTCAGCCGATGATTCATTACATTTCATAAGAAAAATCGGTGAAATGGGTGGTGGCCAGTATGTGGTAGACTTAGCTCCAGCCTTTGAGTCCTTAGCCTTGGCATGCATAGAAAATGTCATAACAGAACGTTTCGGATCGAAAGCTTCACGTATCTTTCGGGTGGTGCGAATGAAAAAATATATTGAACAAGAAGATCTGCAAAAGGAGGCCATGGTCCCGGCGAAAGAAGCTAAACTTTTATCCTACAATCTATTTCAGGAGCAATTTGTTCAAATCAAAACAATACGTAAAGCTGGAGGTGGTGGCACCGGACCGGCCAAGGCGTTCTATTTGTTTTATTTGAAATATAAACAGGTTAGTGGGGGAAATTGAATACTTTTATATGATTTTTTAATTTTTGATCTATTTTTTCAGATTGCCAAAATGCTGTTGGATATTTGTTTTAAAGCTCTGTACAATGACATAACCCGTTCCAATTATGAGAAAAATGAACATAAACGTTTGATTGAAAAATCACAAAAATTGGATAGCATTGTGGCCACAATGAAAGAAAGGGGAGAATCTTTGGAATATATTGCTGAGGTTGGTATGCGTAAAGAAAACAATTTTTTCAATATCCAAATGGCAGAAAGTAGTGTATTTGAAGAAGACGATTAAGGAGTTTAAATTTTTTTCAAATAGGTAATAACCTCTCATCACCACTACACTGTTGTACTGGAAATTAGGTGTATGTGCTTCAATGTTTAAAAAGGAAAGAACCTTCACTACCATAGCATTAGAAAGGCCCAAACCAGTTTTCTTTCCCATCACTTTTTTGCAGATTTTGGTTGAATTTCCTCTATAACGTAAATTTACAAAAAAAATATTCGATTTGAAAAAAGAAGTTTTTCCATCTCTTCGATATTTGTAGGGGCTTTCCATTTTAGATAGGCCAACATTTCCAAATCCTATTTTTTAAGCCCTACACCACATAGTGGTAAGTGGATAAGGAAGCGAGATCTTCTGAGGATCTCCATAGAATCACTTTCTGAGTCGATTTATGCATGTCAGTCCCTCTGTCCGTCCGTCTGCCCATGTATTATTGTGAACAAAATGCAGGTCGTATTTATTATCCGATACAGATGAAATTTTCCAAACAACATTTGTTTGGCCCAAGGACGAACCCTATTGAAAATTGGAGATAATCGGTAAAAATTTAAATATAGCTCCCATATATATCTTCGTCCGATTTGCTTTTTATTGTGCACCAAACGTGTAATATCAGCCCGAATTGTATGGAATTTTGCACATACAACCAAATTAGGCCTGCAAATATGTATGCCAAATTTGATCGAAATCGGTTCAGATATAGCTATAGCTCCCATACATATATTGTTCATCCGATTTGTTATTTTTGTCCTCCGCAGCCGTAATATGCACTCTGTAACAACAATATTTGGGGAAATATATGAAATACAGCTCAGAAATATCTTTGCCAAATTTTATCAAGATCGGTTCAGATTTGGATATATCTCCCATATATAACTTCGTCCGATTTACCATTTATTGTGCACCAAAGGCCTAATATTTGCCTAAATGGGATGAAATTTGGAGCTTACGACCGAATTGAGTCTAAAAGCTAGTATGTTAAATTTGGTGAAGATCGGTTCAGATATAGCTATAGCTCCCATATATATTGTTCATCCGATTTGTTATATATGTTACCCACAGTCGTAATATGCACTCCGTAACAACGATATTCAGGGAAATATATGAAATACAGCTCAGAAATATCTTTGCCAAATTTTATCAAGATCGGTTCAGATTTGGATATATCTCCCATATATAACTTCGTCCGATTTACCATTTATTGTGCACCAAAGGCCTAATATTTTCCCAAATGGGATGAAATTTGGCACTTACGACCGAATTGAGTCTACAAGCTAGCATATCAAATTTGGTGAAGATCGGTTCAGATATAGCTATAGCTCCCATATATATTGTTCATCCGATTTGTTGTATTTGTTACCCACAGCCGTAATATACACTCCGTAACAACGATATTTAGGGAAATGTATCAAAAATATCTTTGGTAAATTTTATTGAGATCGGTTCAGATTTTGATATAGCTCCCATATATATCTTTATCTGATTTCAAATTAATTCTGCGCCAAGTGGGCAATACAAGTCCGAATTTAAAAGATACAAATGCTTCGGCATATTTACTTCTTTGAACTTTAAATAATAATTATAATCATAGCGTGTATGATTAAATTCTCCCAAAAAATCTTTTAATTGTTATGTGGAGCTCTACTAAATTAGCAAAGTGGTGTAGGGTATCATAAAGTCGGCCCCGCCCGACTTTAGGACTTTCTTTACTGGTTTATTTTGAGTTCTGATTCAAAATAGTCCCAATCACCTAGAATTGTTTATAGAATCGTATTAATAATTGTGTCATATTTCAGATCCTTGAAACTCTAACACCTCCTGAACGTGAAATCTTGGATAAAGTAAAGAATCGCATTAAGACCTTGTCCAAAGCGGAATTATCGCTGGATGACACCATATTTCTGTTACAAATGTATTTATATCACTCGGCCCAAGTGTCTGTGGCACCGGCAACCAAGAAATGAAAACGTATATTTTTATATTTTTAAAATTAAAAATATACCTTAGATTGTGTTAAAAAATTAAATAAAAACACTTAACAACATGTTTTTATAATTATCATTTATTTTTGTAAAAAAATCGTTTATATTAAACAATTGTAAAAACAAATACAATATGTTGTAAAAAAATATCATTTGTTTTTTAAAATATAATAATTTAAGTTATAAAATTTGTTGTGTGTGTGTGAGACGACGATTGTGACAAAAAAGAAACCTTATTAATTTGTATAATATTATTATATATATTTAGAAAATATATATGTATGCATGTTAAAAATATATAAAAATTGTCTGGGATTATTTACACATCGTGTAGGTGAAAATAACTTATTAAATGCTTCTCCAGATTTTCCCTCTTAACTTTTTTTTGGAAGGGGTCTTCAAGGGAAAACTAGCAGACGTATAACACATTCTTTTGTTTAAAAACTAACTAGTATTAGACTATTCTAAAAGGGGGAAGTGAGGGAGGGGAAGACGAGGGTGTGTGTTTGTGAAGTTTATAAAAAAATAATAAACTAATGGGTGTTTTGTTTGATTTTTTTTGTGAAAAGCTTACTTGTCGGAACAAAATAAACTACACAGATGGCATATGAATTTTTGTGGGTACATGTGTGTGTGTAAAGAATAAAAACATATGGTGTGTGGAATTGTTATATGGACCTAATTCTGGTGGATATTGTGTTTATGTGTGTGTGTTTTTTTTCGAAAATAAAATAAATGTTGCACTATGTTTCTCCTCGGCGCGCGCGGTTCCTCTACATGGCATTGCCATTATAATGTTCATACATATAATCCCAAAATTGTTGCCGTTCCAGTTCGGGATTATTTTTCATTTGTAGATTTGTGGTAATATCCATAAAACTAAGGCTCTCCATAACACCATTGGGATCCACCGGAGACCATGTTGTGTTAAGGAAATCATCATTTAAATGGGGTGGTGTGGGATTACTGAAGAAAAGACAAATAAATAATAATTTTTATTTTTATTTCAAATTTTCGTAAACCTACCCATATTTAGCAAAATTAGTCCACATCCGCACCATACGATTTTTGACTAGCACCTCCATTGATTTGGGATCCAAACTCAAATTGAAGAATCCAAATTTAAACAAATAACCCAATTCATCACCGTGACACACACCCGGTCGCTGCAAGCCCAACATTCTCTTGTACAGCCCTAAAGCACCATCGAAGGCAAAGCGATACATATACACCGGCATATTACCATATTTGGCATGATTCCGCACCGTACGTCTTATGCCATGGACAAACATTAGATCGGTAAGTAACTGCAAGAGAAAAATGGTTTAAAGATTATTTTATTAAAATTTATTTTATTTTGTTTTAATTTAGCCAAATATTTTGAGATGGGAACAATTTTTGGAGGTGAATGGCGAAGATAGACGATTGCATAACGAGAGTTTCAATTTTACATCTTGGGCCAAATAACGGCTTTCTCATCCAAATAACCAACAAAAAAATATGTGCTATCGATTAATGGGGTTCTTGTGGCAGTTTGATCTAAGCTTCAAAAGGGCTCGCCCGCTCTTGGCGGACGAGAACCAAACAAAGACATAAAAGTGAAAAGTACCCCCGCCACAAGCATGGGTTTCCAACAGCCTGTTCATTCGAGACACAATTTTCCCGAAAATTGGCAGACAATACCCCTGAACCATGTCAAATCAACCGCCACTCATCTCTCTCGGATGCAGAGAAAATTCATTTATCTAAGAATTCATAGCTGAAAAATGTAGAAGTCAATTTTGAAATTTGCGACGAAGAGATTTATACCTGAATTACGTTGTTAAACGATCTCAAAGCGGTTGTGGCATTCCGTCCTAATATTTTCCGCATTTTTATGAATGGCATTTTTTTCAAACCATATACCCATTTGCAGGTCACAATACTTCAAAGTGAGGCTGTCGTTTCCAGCAAAGACACTGATCCCAGTATCCCAGAGGAAAGAATGGATAAACCATCTGAAATGTTACAACGATGAAACCCATATGGGTAAATTGTGGATATCGATTCAATCGTTATCGAATCATGGGGGAAAAATGATGATGACCCATTTGCAGGTCACAATATTTCAATGTGAGGCTGACGTTTCCAGCAAACACACTGATCCCAGTATCCCAGAGGAAAGAATGGATAGACCATCTGAAATGTTACAATATCGAAACCGAAATGGGTAAATTGTGGATTACCGTTAAATCGCTATCGAATCATGGGGGAAAAATGATGATAGACCCGTTCAACGATGTAAGGGTGAGTAAATCGAAGAGGTGAGCTAATAACACTGAGCAGTAGATTATGGAAGTAGAGCTAACTTGTATCGGTGTTTTGAAAGTTTACAACGCAAAGTAACCTAAATAGAGGATATATTTTTATACCCTCCACCATAGTATGTAGAATATATTAAGTTTTTCATTCCGTTTGTAACACCTCGAAATATACATTTTAGATCCTACAAAGAATATATATTCTTTATCAGCATAAAATTCTATGTCGATTTAGCGATGTCCGCACGTCTGTGGAAATCACTCTAGCTTCCGAACGAAATGAAGTAAGTTGATAAAATTTTACTCAAATGTGTATTATGTCTGCAGGACTTTTGATATTGAAAATGGGCCATGTAGGTCCACCTCCACGTATAGCCCCCATATAACAGTACCCCCCGATATTCGTTATTTTGATGATTTTAGAGACATTATTTATCGGAATTGTTTAAAATTCGGTATTTAAAGTTCGTAATGGATACTACAACTTAAGACAGAAAATGAGCCATGTAGGTCCATGTCTTCGTATAGCCCCCATATAGCGGTACCTCCCGATATTGGGTATTTTGATGATTTCAGAGACATTATTTACCGGAAGTATTTCAAATTTGGTATTAGATGTTCGGAATGAATACTACAGCCTATGACAGAAAGTTGTCTGTGCAGGTCCACGTCTTCGTATGGCCCCCATATAACGGTATCTCCCGATATTCGGTATTTTGATGATTTTAGAGACATTATTTACCGGAACTATTTAAAATTTGGTATTTGAAGTTCGTAATTAATACTACAGCCTATGACAGAGAATTGTCCGTGCAGGTCCACGTCTTCGTATAACCCGCATAAAATGGTAGCCCCCGATATTCGGTATTTTGATGATTTTAGCGACATAATTTAGCGGAATTGTTTCAAATTTTGTTTTTTTACGAACTTCAAATACCAAATTTCAAATAATTCCCGTAAATAATGTCGCTAAAACCATGAAAATACCGAATATCGGAAGGTACCGTTATAAAGGGGGCTATACGAAGATCTGGATCGACATGGCCCATTTACGAACTTAACCTGCCTACTGGTAAACTATGCATGTATGCAAAATTTCAGACTTCTATCTCAATTCGTTTGAAAGATAGCGTGATTACAACAGACAGACGGACAGACGGACAGACAGCTGGACATGGCTAAATCGTCTTAGAATTTTACGCTGATCTAGAATGTATATACTTTGTTGGGTCTAAAATTATTATTTCGATGAGTTACAAACGGAATGATGAACTTAATATACCCTCCATATTATGTTGGAGGGTATAAAAAACAGCCTTATCTGACACCTTCCAACCAAGAGTGACCCTCACCAAAAATTTCAAGATTCTAGCTTCAGCCGTTTCGTCTGGCCGTTGATGATTGAATTGTTAAGTCAGTCAATCAAAGGACTTCCAGTGTACTACCCTCCGACCTAGTTTGAAACGTAGGAAGAAATAGGCCAAGTTATTAAAGAAGTCGACTTTAATATGACCCTTTTATGACGTGCAAAATAGTCTTAGGCGGAATGAAAAGGTTAAAAATAAAACAAACGGTTAAGAAAAACCGCTACTCTACAAAAGCCGATAAATTGAAAATTAAATTATTTGTTCCTAGTTAGGACCCCACAGTACCCCCTCATTTATTGACATGCCCCCAGCATCCTAAAGACTTCAATCAGATTTCTCCTTGAACGAGATTTGAAAAAGAAAATTTTCGAGAAAATCGTTGAAAAAATAAATACGGAGACTACCGGACTGCTGTCTATCACGAGTTACTCATCTGTAAAAAAAACGAAACTTACCGCAATCATTTCATCCACAGATTCAATGCCCACTTGCTTGTTGCCCAAATAGAATTGGCGAATTTCCCTTGTAACCCGCTCACGATCATCGGTGACATTGAGATCCCTAGGCACCAAACGGGTAAAGTCATTTTCAATGATATCCAATAGTTGGGGATTTTTGCGTAAACCTAAAAAAAGAATTCAATTCAAACCAATATTTTTCTTCTATTACAGAAGCTTATGTACAACTCACGTCTAATGAACAACATGGCCTCATGGGTATTGTAGCCCGTCATATATGGAATATTTTTATGGAATTTATGCTGATTATACATCTCCTCCGGACTTTCCGTAATCAAGGGAGCCTCATAATAAATTGGCTGTTCTCCTGGCTTATTCCAATAGCCCTCAACCACCGGTACAAATGGCAACCCCACATTATTACGAAAATCTTCTTCGGTCAGCGTTGTTGGAGCAGCTTCAACCAATTTCATGGCTGGCACCCTTCTCAGGAACTCTAGAATTTCTTCGGTATCATTAGCACCAACATAACCCAAATTGGCGGCCAGTCGATATGCCCTTGTCATCGAACTTTCACCCATGGCCCATGGATTAAGAGCAGAACCACTTTCCGAAATGGCACGATGAAATAGACCCTTTGCCAAGGGTGATAGCAGAAGCATTTGCACAGATGAACCACCTGCTGATTCACCAAAAATGGTAACCTGATTGGGATTGCCACCAAAATCGGCAATGTGATCACGAACCCATTTCAGGGCTAGAATTTGATCTTTCAGACCCTGATTGCCGGGGGCATCGGGACCTGCCGTCAGGAAACCCAATGGGCCAAGACGATAATTTAGTGTTACCAACACCACATTTTCGGCCACCAAATAATCGGGCCCATAGAGGAAGGTGTTGCCCGAACCAAATGAATAGCCACCACCATGCATCCAAACCATAACCGGTAGCTGGGGATTGCTGTAAGTGGATTTTACATGAGAAATGTGTTAAGTCTCAATTAAACCAGTTTTTGTTGTCAGAGATTTCAGGGTACTTACTATTCTCCCTTGGGCAGCTTCATGGTAAACACATTTAAAAATAGACAATCTTCATTGCCTTTGAAGGTGTCCAAAATCATGTTTTTGTGCGGACAACTGTTGCCCTCCCGGGAGGCATCACGAATGCCGGCCCAACTTCTTTCAGGTTCAGCTGCTCGGAATCTGTAGTTAGAGAAAAAATGCATAGAAGGATTTAGAAAATGTAAAGATTTATTTAGAGAAAACAAAAGGAAAATCGGTGTAAAGTTCGACTGTGCAGAACATTTTCTACCATATTCCATATCAAAACTTATATTGGTTGTCGTTAAAAAAACTAGAATTCTGGATAGCGTTAGATGGTCATTGTGTCTATAACGAATATTTTTACCAGATAATTTTCTACGATTATAAACCGCAAATACCAAATTCTACCTAAATACCATGTATTCAAAATACGTATATGGGTTCCTCGAAGTAGCCATTACTGGGGGATAAGGTTATATGGGAGTCTTTCCTAAATCTTGATTTAAATTAAAAGAAAAAAAATGCATAGAATGGGTAGTAACTTTTAAGATTTTTAAATATCTTATATCAACCACTTTGGTTGGAAGAGGAGGACAGGATTGGTCGTTATGTAAAAATATGCACCGACGTTGATAAATTTTTATACCCTCCACCATACTATGGAGGATATATTTATTATGTCATTCCGTTTGTAACTCCTCGAAATACTCATGTCAGACCCAACAAAGTATATATATTCTTGATCAGCGTAAAATTTTAAGACGATTTAGCCATGTCCGTCTGTCTGTCTGTCTGTCTGTCTGTCTGTCTGTCTGTACGTCTGTCTGTCTGTCCCTCTGTCTGTCTGTCCGTCTGTCTGTTGTAATCACGCTATCTTTCGAACAAATTGAGATAGAAGGCTAAAATTTTGCACACATGTATATTTTGCCAGTAGGCAGGTTAAGTTCGAAAAAAAGTTATCATATAGCCCCCATATAACGGTACCTCCCGATATTCGGTATTTTGATGATTTTAGCGACATTATTCATCGGAATTGTTTCAAATTTGGCATTTGAAGTTCGTAATGGATACTATATCCTAAGTCAAAAAATGAGCCATGTAGGTCCACGTCTTCATATAGTCCCCATATAACGGTACCCCCCGAAATTCGGTATTTTGATGATTTTAGCGACACTATTTACCGGGATTGTTTCAAATTTCGCATGTGAAGTTCGTAATGGATACTTCAGCCCATGCCAGAAAATTGTCTGTGCATATAAACAGATTTTTCTTCAAGTTTCGCATTTAAATATTGTAATAACTTATGACAAAAGTTGCCTATGCAGGTCCACGTCGTCGTATAAGCATTCGGTATTTTTAAGATTTTAACAGAATTTTTAACGGATTTTATTTATTTATTTACTTATTTTTTTTTTGTGGAAATTGCCAAATTTGTACCAAGTGGTGGAGGGTATTAAAAGTTCGGCCCGGCCGAACTTACAGCTTTTTTACTTGTTATTTAATGAAGATGTTTATCGACATTGACGAATTTTTAAAATTCTATTACCGACAATTTTGTTGAAAATCGGAACTGAAAACTTCGTAATGTCAAATATCAGGAGGTACCATACTTGCCAAATAATGAACCTGCACAGAGCATTTTTCTAGGAACCTGAAACGCTAAATAGAACTAGTTTGGTTGGATATGCGAGGAAAGCCTCAACAGATTCTAGAAATTCCCACCACTTTTATTGGCCGATATTATATTTTTTTACCCTTAGTCATATGGCTAGATAGGGTATACATCTATAAAATGATGTATACGCCAAAACGTATCTCATCGAAATAACGATTGTAGACACTAGGTCTCTTTAGACCAAATCCGTTTCAGGACATTTGGAGTCGATCGAGTAGTGTCCGTCCGTCCATCTGTCTGGCTGGTGCGAACGATAACACTCGAAGGGAGTATCAGATTTGGTCGAAACTTAGTACATCGTATAATCGAGTTCGGAGATGGGCAATATCGGTCCATTCCTTCTGGTACCTCCCCTACAAAAGGTCGAAATTTTTAAAGAAAATAATTTACTGCACAGAAAGAGAAAGGATAATCCGATTTTGCTCCAACTTTGCGAATCTCAAATCTTGCATCAGTTCTAGGTCAGGTGAAAAATGGACAATATCGGTCAACTCCATCAAGTACCTCCCCCCAAAAAGAATCAAAATTTTGCATAATTATAATTCCTATAAAATGAGATGTAAAAGTCTAATTGTCTTTAAATAACACACATCACATTCAACATTTTGAATATTTATGAAGAAATTAACATCTGATTTCACGCAGACCTGACACATCTCTATATTTCCATAAAGAAAAGATCTGTTAAAAATATGGTAGAGATCGGACCATTCCTTCTGGTATCCTCCCCCCTACAAATGGTCAAAGTTTTGAATAACCAAAACGATCATAAAATCCGAAATAAGCATTCATATTTCACACATCCCAATATTTCTACTATCACAAGATCTGGTGTGAAGATGAGATATATCGGTCCACTCCTTCTGGTACCTCCAACACAAAGGGTCAAAATTTTGAATACCCATGAAGCTCATAAAAAGCGAAATTAACATCCGTTTCCATTCAGACTTGGTACATGTCAATATTTCCATCAAGACAAGATATGTTCTAAAGGTGGTATGGATCGGACTATTGCTTCTGGCACCTCCCCCAGATAAGGTTCAAGACGGCGAAATTAACATCCAACTCTCTCTTTACACATACAAACATTTTTGCTAACAAAAGATCTGTTGCGAAGATGAAATATATCTGCAAACCTCGACTGATACTTTTAAACTTGTTTGGTACTAAAAAAGTAAAATATTTTTAAATCAAATTTTGCCGAACATTTTAACTTTGCCCGACAATATAAATATAAAAATACATAGTGACCTACATTCAATCTGTTGGGGGTATTATAAGTTGGATTGGGTTAAAAATTATGTAACACCTCGAAATATTGGTTTCCCACATAGGAAAGTGGATCTCCCTATCTCGCCGAGCTGAGTCGATCTAGCTATGTATGTATGTCCGTCCGTCTGTCCATGTTAATTTGTAATCACTCTATAGGTCGCAATTATGGCCCGATCTTTAGGAAAATTTAGAATAGAGGTGGGGATAAAGGCAGATAAGCCTATTGCTTTTGGAGATGATCGCTTAATATTTAGGGGTTGAATTTTGCCACTTAGACCTTAGGGCTAGGCAGAAGCCTTCCAATTTTGATGATAATCGGGTAATAGTTAGTGGCTAAAATAGACTATAACATTTGTCAAAAAATTCAAATTTTCCATTAAACCGCGAATATTTTTAATCCCGACGAAATTACAAATAGACGAAAAGGTCAAATCTGACCGTTACGTAGATGCCGATAGTAAATATAGCGCATATATATATATAGCGAATTATATACAATGTGCTTATACAAATGAAGGCGATGATAGCTAGAATGCTTATATCTCAAGTATGGCTGGACCGATTTTGACAAATTTTGTTAATTCAGAATACCTTCTTGGCATAAAAGAATAAAATCTGAAAATCGGATAAAAATATGCCAATAATGATGTTGATATAGATTTTGTGGTGTTTTGTGACATTTTTTTATTGATTCATATTTTTTATCGCATGCGATTGCAATTATTGTCCGATCCTCACGAAAATTTTCACAAGGTTAGGCTCAGAAGGGCTAGGCCTATTGTCTTCAAAGATGTCCGAAATATATTTGGGTGTTTAAATGGACCAAAAGCATAAAAAATTTCCTGATCACACAATTGAAGCCAATTGACACGCTTAAGAGGAGAGTTAAGAACACAGAAGAATTCTAGCATTTTGGATGACCATTGGGTTCTTTGTAGCTGTTAAATGGACCTCAACAACTAACAGCACAACGGAATGCGTCAATATTGGGCAAATGTCCCTGGTAAAAATGCTAAGGATAATATCTGGACAGTGCATCGTGACATAATTTTAAAAGCGAAATCTTCCAAAATGGATTTGGACATAGAGGGGCTTCTACCATATTGTAGTGTTGTAGGATAACACATGGATGGCCCCGCACGGCTATAGCCTTTGATTCGATTTTATATTTATTTTCAATAAATACAGTTACCTAGCCCATAGGTCCATGGACAGTTCCAAAATCTTCTATACATGACTTCTCTAATTTTTATACCCTCCCTCATACTATGGAGGGTGTATTCATTTTGTAATTCCGTTTGTAACTTCTCGAAATACTCATGTCAGACCCAACAAAGTATATTCTTGATCAGCGTAAAATTCTAAGACGATTTAGCCACGTCCGTCTTTCTGTCTGTCTGTGTGTCTGTCTGCTGTAATCACGCTATCTTTCGAACGAATTGAGATATATAGCTAAAATTTTGCACACATGTTTATTTTGCCACTAGGTCCACGTTTTCATATAGCCCCCATATAACAGTACCTCCCGATATTCGGTATTTTGATGATTTTAGCGACATAATTTACCGGAACTATTTCAAATTTGGTATTTGAAGTTCTTAATGGATACTACAGCCTAAGACAGAAAATTGTCTGTGCAGGTAAACGTCTTCCTATAGCCCCTATATAACGGTACCTCCCTATATTCGATATTTTGATGATTTTATCGTTATTATTCACCGGAATTGTTTCAAATTACGTATTTAGAGTTAGTAATGGGAACTACAGTCTGTGACAGAAAATTGTCTATGCAGGTCCAGGTCTTCGTACCTTCCTATATTCGACATTTTGACGAATTTAGGTACAATACTCACCGAAATTGTTTGAGATGTCGCATTTGAAGTTCGTAATTAATGCTACAGCCTGTGACAGAAAATTGTCCATGCTGGTCCAGGTCTTCGCAAAGCTCCGATATAACGGTACCCCCATATATGTGATATTTTGATGACTTTAGCTACATTATTCACCGTTTATCTCAAGTTTCCAATTTGAATATTGTAATGGCTTATGAGAAACAATGCCTATGTAGGTCCACGTCATATAGACCCCAATATAACGGCTACATTTGGTATCTTTAAAATTTTAACAGAATTTTTTAAGGATTTTATTTTTTGAAAATTTCCAAATTCGTTCCAAATGGTGGAGGGTATTCAAAGTTCGGCCCGGCCGAACGTATCTGCTTTTTCAGTTGTTTATGTTTATTTTGAATTAATACAGTTACCTAGCCTATAGGGCCATGGACGGTTCTAAAAACGTCTATACATGACTACTCTAATGTTTAGTATTCTATCAGTACAAATTTCAATATTCTACCTGTATAGAATTGAAATATTTCACTTACCTTCTATCGCCCACTGGAGCTTGGCCATAACGGATACCCTTAAAACTATAGTAGCCACCACGTTCACCTGAGCGGAATTTTTGGAAACGACCACGAATTTTACCCAGCGATGTGTTCACCACAACATGTGTGTCTTTCTGCAATTAAAAAACAAAAACAAAAAAATACAACAAAACTGTTAAAAAAGATAAAAATCAAATTTGCAACATTGTCTGTAATAAACAAATGACCTTCAACAAGTGTTCAAAATGCAATTGCATAATCATGTTGAGAACTAAGAATTCGACAAAAAAAAAGTAAAGAAAAAACATGATGCAGTCATTTTACGATAATGAATTGCCGAAAATTTAACATCAATTGCTAAAAATTAACAAATTAAATAAAAAACAACAACATTTTGGACAAAAACCAAATTTTTCTTGAGTGAGAAAATAAAAATTCTGATGTTTGAACAAAACGTTTAGAACATATTTCGCAATTGGTGTCATATGTGTGTTGGCCGGTGTACTGGAGCTTTTTGCATACCTTGACACCGTTTTGTTGATTCTACCATTTAATATTTGGCTGTGAAGTGCCACTACCGACACCGACACCAACACCTGTTTATTTGTTTGTTTGAAATTCGTTTAGCACTTTATTTAAATTGTGGAAGTTCTTAACTGAAATGGGCGAGCGGAAACTAGCGCATATGTTTTTTTTCAGATCATCATTAGTTCTGCCAGTTTCACGTATACGAAAACAATTTTATTCATTTACTAGCAAGTGTCCGAGACTTCATGACCAAAAATCCACCTTAAAATTTTAGATTCGTTCCAACAGTTCGGAATTGCACAATTTTTCAATTTGATAGAATTTAGTAATAAAAATTCCAAATTTGGTAATATTTAGTACGCATATCCAAAACCATTACATTCTCCATCCTAGATGTCAAAACTGATCCAAAATTAGTACCATTTAGTACTTTTCGAATAATTATAGTACGCATTTGTACAACCACCACCAGATCTAAACAACAGATACTAAGATAAGCCTCAATATCAAATTTGGGAATCCTGCTCTATACATTAGCTCAATACCAAAACTACTAACACTTAGTACTTTTCGTATAATTTTAGTACACATATCCAAATCCACCTTCATATCTCAATCCCAAAAACTAATAGATACCTCAATATCAAATTTCGGGATTACAGACCTATCTTTTCACCCAACACCAACACCAAATTTAGTACCATTTAGTAATTTTCCTACAAATATAGAATGCATTTCCAAACCACCTCTATATTTTAATCCCTTATACTAACAGATACCTCAACATCAAGCTTTATGATTTCAGACCTATCTCTTCACCCAATTCCAAATTCAGTACCATTTAGTACTTTTCGTACAAATATAGTACACATTTCCAAGACCACCTCTATATATCAATCTCAGACACCAACAGTGACATCTATATCAACTTTAAGGATTTGATACCATAATTGGTACTATTTAGTACTTTTCCTATCATAACAGTACATATTTCCAAGACCACACTCATATCTCAAATCCCAACACCAATAAACCCTCAATATCAAATTTCGAGATTTCAGCTCTTTCCCTTCACCCAATACCAAATTTAGTACCATTTAGTACTTTCCGCACATAACATTACACATTGCCAAGACCACCACCATATGTCAATTCTCGATACCGACAGAGACCTCAGTAGGATTCGAGCTCTATTTCTTCACCCCATACCAAATTTAGTAACATTTAGTACTTTTTCAAATTTTAGTAATCATTTCCTATAATATCTCCATATCTTAACCACATTTCAGTATTTCAGCTCTATTCCTTCAACTAATACCCACTTTAGTACTTTTCGTACAATTACAGTAAACATATCCAAAACTACCTTCATATCACAATTTCAGATACCAATATAAAATTTCGGGATTCCAGCTCTATTCCTTTACCCAATACCAAATTTAGTACCATTTAGTACTTTTCGTACAAATATAGTACACATTTTCGCACCGTCGCCAAATCTCGAACACAGATACCATCAAATTTCAGAATTTTATCGCTATCCTTTTAGACAATTTCAAATCTAGTGCCATTTTTTACTTTTCGTAGAATAACAGTACAAATGTCCAGGCTACATATGAACATCGACCCTAAAACAACAATTTTAGATTTCAAGCACTAGCTGGTTACCCAATATCAAATCATATCAAATTTGGTACCTTCACCCAATATCCAATTTAGTACCATTTAGTAATTTTCGTACAAAAACAGTACACATTTTCAAGACCACTTCCAGATACCAAGACAGACCTCAATATCAAATTTTAGGATTCTTTTCATCCAATACCAAATTACCGCGCTTAATTAAACTGTTCCAAATTTAGTACCATTTATTGCAGCTCGCACACTGAGTACACATATCCCAAACATTCACATCATCTAACATAAAACTTACTTTTTAACCTTGATTATCATACCAAGTTTTTCAAGTTCTATCCGTTCACATAATACCAAATGGTACCATTTTAGATGTTTAGTACCGTAACATTAAAGTTCGAACCTCCAATAACCTTTTGGTGCATCTATCCTGCACTCCATCAGTGACTCTCATTCAAAATTTCAAAATTCCAGCTCCATCGGTTCATCACAATTCCAGTTTGTACCAAATTAAGTACCATTTAATACATATACTTATAAGTACGAATTTTCATTGATCCCAATTCCAAATTTAGGATTCCACCCCTGTTGGTTTGCCCAAATTCGAATTCTAATTTATACAGTATATTTATTTATACAGTATATTTAAATTTACGAAAACTTCCTACATATCCTAATTCTACGCTCCAATAGTAATCTTATTTCCAATTTTCAGGATATTAGCTCCATTGGTTCATCAAAATTCCAAATTTTACCAAATTTTGTACAATTTAGTACACATAAGTACGAATTTCCAAAGTTCCCTATATGCCCATCCCTGCGCTCCCACAGTAATCAAAATTCAAAATTTTAGGACTCCACCCCTGTGGGTTTGCCCAAATACTAATTATACTTTATTTAGTACATTTTAGTACATAAAAGTACAAACTTCTAAAACTACCTACATATCCCAATTCTACACTCCGACAGTAATCTTGTTTTCAGTTTTCAGGATACCAAAATAAGTGCCATTAAGTACGAATTTCCAAAACTACCTACATACCTTAGTCCTACAATGCCATTGTAATAGTATAGTGCAATAGTAACCTTATTTCTAAATTACAGAATTTCAGCTCTATCGGTTTACCCAAATCGAAATTGTACCAAATTTAGTACCATATAGTACATAGAATTACGAATTTCCAAAACTACCTATATATCAGTCCTACAATTTAATAGTAATCTTATTTCAAAATTTCAGGGTTCTAACTCTATTGGTTCTGCAAAAATTTCACTTGTACCGAATTTAGTACCATTTAGTGCACATAAGTACGAATTTCCAAAACTACCTACATAATAGAGTCCAATAAAAATCTTATTTTCAAATTTCAGGATTCCAACTGTACCGGTTCACCCAAAATTAAAATTGTACCAAAATAAGTACCATTTAGTACATATAAGTACGAATTTCCCAAAAACTACCCGCATCCTCAGTCCTACAATGCATTCCTACAATAGTCCTACAATAATTTCTATATTTCATCATTCCAACTTTTTTGGTTCACCCACATCCAAATTGTACCAAATTTAGTACCATTTAGTACACTTAAGTGCAATTTTTCATAACTACCTACATCATACAGTATAATAGAATATTTATGTTCAAATTTCAGGATTCCAAATCTATTGGCTCTACCAAAATTTAAATTGTACTTAACTTAGTACTATTTAGTACATATAAGTACTAATTTCCAAAACTATTAATATTATTTCTAATTTCCACAATTCCATCTCTATGGGTTCAGTAGTACTTTTCGTATAAAAATGTTGAAAACTTCCTCCATATTCCAATCCTACACTCCGCCAGTAATTTTAATTTGAAATTTTATGATTCCAGCTCCATCCGTTCCTCCAAATTTAAATTGTACTAAATTTAGTATCGTTTAGTACCTTTCTTATACATGAGTACACACTTCCAAAACTATCTCCTCATTGCATCGACTCTACTCTTCAACCTTGATTCCCATTCCAAATTTCAATTTTTTAGCTCTAACCGTTCACATGAAGCAAAATGGTACCAAATGTTGCACATTTTAGTACTTTACCTACTCTTATAGTGCGAATTTCCAAAAACTACTTTGGTACATGTATCATACACTCCAAAAGAGTCCCTCATTTCAAATTGAAGAGTTATAGCTCTACTGTTTCCTCAAACTCAAAGGGTACCATATTTAGTACCTTTTAATAATTTTCGTGCCGTTCTAGTGCGAATTTCCCAAAAACCAAGCCTTCGAAGCAAAATTTCAAGATTCTAGCATTAGCCGTTTCGTCAGGTGGTTGATGAATCGTTTGTATGTCAGTCAAATAGTCAATTACGTTATTATACCCTCCACCATACTATGGAGGGTATATTAAGTTTGTCATTCCGTTTGTAACAACTCGAAATACACATTTTATATTCTTGATCAGCATAAAATTCTATGTTTTTAGCGATGTCCGCCCGTCTATCCGTCTGTGAAAATCACTCTAGCTTCCGAACGAATTGAAGTAGATTGATAAAATTTTGCTCAAATGTATGTTATGTCTGCAGGACTTTTGGTATTGAAAATGGGTCATGTAGGTACACGTTTTGGTTTAGCCCCCGTATAACGGTACCTCCCGATATTCGGTATTTTGACGATTTTAGCCAAATTATTCACCGGAATTGTTTCAAATTTGGTATTTGAAGTTCGTAATGGATTCTACAGCCTAAGACAGAAAATTGTCTGTGCTGGTCCAGGTCTTCGTAAAGCCCCCATATGACGGTACCTCCCGATATTCGGCATTTTAATGATTTTAGGGACATTTTTCACCAGAATTATTTCAAATTTGATATTTGAAGTTCGTTATGGATACTACAGCCTACGATAGAAAATTGTCTGTGCAGGTCCAGGTCTTCGTATAGCCCCATATAACGGTACCTCCCGATATTCGGTATTTTGATGATTTTAGC